TTAACCCCGTAAAACTAAGGCCTGGCTTAGCTATCTTAGCTGGATCTACAGAAGGCTGCCAGGTGAACATCAGACAACTTCGAATTTGTTAGAATCCCACCTACATGCTAAATAAGACATCACCTACCCCAGTGCTATTAGTACTGGTAGTGTAACTGGGGCTGTGGGATCGCTTTCCCACCATCCATCTGAATTTGGACAACATCCCAGAGCCAAACTGATTCTGTCGTCCTAACAGAAGTGGAAATAAGAATAACAAAGACCCAGGAAGTCTGTAAGCTTCAGGCCAGAACACTTGCTGGGTTAGAGCCCACGGCCTGACCTACAGTAACCTTTTCCCCACTGAACTTCATAATGATTCATACACAGGACCACATGTCATGCGTGGGATTAAAACAGTGAATTCTGGGAGCATCATACCTACTGGATGCCCCAGAGATCACTCAGCACCCTGTCAATCATTTCTGTCAATCATATCCAGAGAGATACAATGAGAGGCTTGCAGGGCAGAGTGCACATCTAAATCCAAAAGCCTGATTTCTTCTCTTTTCTTATTTTTTTGTCTTTTTGAGACAAGGTTTCACTATGCAATTTAGGCTGGCCTTAAAGTCACTTTGTAGCCCAAGTTGGCCTCACACAGTGGTCCTCCTGCCTCAGCCTCCCCAGTGCTGGGATTACAGATGTGTGCCACTATGCTTGGCAAGCCTGATTTATTTTTCCTCTCCCTATTCCTCTGTTGTCCTGGCACCACTTTTTTTTTTTTTTTTTGTACTGGGAATCGAACTTAAGACCTTGTGCTTGCCAGGCAGTCACTGCGCTGCTGATTTCCCCAGCCCCTTGGCACCACTTTTTCCCTCTTTCTGCACCTTTTTGTTTCTGCTGGTACGAACCCTCCCTCCCTGAGTGCAGCTTCCATGTTAATGTCAATAAATGTTGCTGCTTTTTCTTTTACCTTTGGGTGTACTCTTGCAGTTCTTTGCTCAATGAGCACAAGAACCCAGAATCTGTCTCTGGAGGGCCTTGTCAGGTGATAACTGCTTGATGTTGACCATAAGGAAGCACAAAAGGAGTACAAAGAGGCAGCACCTGAATTCTTGGAAATTTCTGCTCATCCATAGAAGAGACATAGCCATTCCTCCCCTTTCTTAGCCTGCCCCTTCCCTCATCTCTTCTGCCTCATTATCTATAACCTTTCCCGCCCCAGGTCAAGAGGCTGTTTGTAAACTTATCTCCCATCTCTCCTGTTCTTAGGCAAAAATAAAAATTCTTTCACTGCTGAAGTGGTGCTCAGTCTTATTAGTTCTACAGTTCCAAGAGGGAAATAAGATACAATTGGGGTTGAAAAATAGGAAATGTTTTCAATTTACAGTGGGTTTATCTGTGTATAACTGAACCCCAAGTGGAGGACCATCTGTAGAGACCTCATTTTCTATGCACGAGAGAGACTAATTCCCGGGGATTCAGTTGTCTTGTTTGTTTAGTAGTTTTCACCAGTCTCACTGGGAGTCCTGAAAAGGAGAGACAGAGGTGTGAGGCAGAAGCAAGATGCTCTGGCTTTGAAGCTGCAGGAAGGGGCCTGAGCTGAGGGGCGCAAGGAGTGTGGGTCTAGAAGCAGGAGGCGACCAGTGACAGATGCTCCCCTTCCCGGCCAGAAGGAATTAGCCCTGCCCTTGACCTTTACCCCGTGAAACTGATCTCAGACTGCTTCCCTCCAGAACAATAGAGAACAACTTTGTAGGGTTGAACGTATGTTGTAGCTGTCACAGCCGCAATAGGAAACAAACACGCCCCTTCTTGGGGCTGACCCCAAGGGACTGAGTTGGAAAGGACAGCTGGAAATGAGGGGCTGGGGAAGCTCAAGTCAGAGAGAAGGAACTGGCCGTGACTGTTCCTTTCATCTTGGAGCTGGGGTGGGGGTGGGCGTGGGAAACACAATTTCAAGGAGGCTTAGAGGTCTGTAATAATAACCTTCAGTAGAGTCCAGAGGCGTCTTTTGAAAGACAAGTTAAACTTCCTAGTATTGAAGGAATTTACACCTGAGTTATGTCCAGACCTTAGCAGACTTCATAAGGGCCCTGGGGATTTCATTTAGGGCCGACAAGGGCATGCAAAGTAGTCTCCGCTTCAAGATCCCCCAGTTAATCACACCTGTGAAGTCCCTACATCATAGGGCCCCACCCCTCAAGGACTTCCCCTGGCCTCTGGGTGTTGGGGTGTGTGTCCTCTCCAACGAGGGTTTGGGTGGTAGCCAGGCCCCAGGCCCAGGACGTCTCAGGAGGATGGGTCACACCCGTGTCTGGGCCCTGGCATTGGGTCAGCCAGGCCTTGAACCCCAGCTCCTCCACTTACTCGATGTTGGCCCCTGGGAGAGGAACTTACCTTTTTGTGCCTGACTTGACCTAGAAAAAATACTTCTGAATATTTACAATAAACCAGCTGAGTGACTCACAAACCCGAGCTCCAAGCTCAGCCTTCAGAGGGGCCACCTCTCCTCCTTTGGCTGAGGCTCCTTAGATTTGAGGTAGGGGTGGTTGTCAACCCCTTGCTGTTTTAAACCTCAGCTGAAATTGAGGCTCAGCTGAAACTGAGGCAGAAGTCAGTAGTTTTTTTTTTTTTTTTTTTGTCTTTTGGAGACAGGGTCTCACTATGCAGTTCAGGCTGGACTTGAGGTCACTTTGTAGCCCAGGCTGGTCTCGAACTCGCAAAGATCCTGCCTCAGCCTCCCAAGTGCTGGGATGACAGGCATGCGCCACCATGCCCAGCAGAAATCAGTACTTTATAACTTCTGCCACGCTTGGGCCAGGACAGACAGAAGGCAGGGAGGTGAAGAGGGTGAAGTCTTGGAACGCCAGCTAGGCCCAGAGTCAGGGCAGGTCACCAACTTCGGTCATCTCCTCTCCCCTCAATTTGTTTTTTTGCTGTTCTCTCCCTTTTTTTTTTTGAGACAGGGTCTCATTATGCAGTTCACGCTGGTCTTGAGCTCACTATGTAGCCCAAGCTCGCCTCGAACTCATAGTGAGCCTCCTGCTTCAACCTCCCAAGTGCTGAGATTATAGGCATGCAATACCATGCCCACCCACAAACTCTTTATTTTGAGATAAATGTTGATTTACATACATCTTTTCAGATTTATTTATGTATTTATTTATTTTATTGTACTAGGATTCAGACCCAAGGTCTTCAGGTGGGGCTATATCTCCCACCCTTTTTATTTTTTACGTTTGAGACAAGATCTCATTAAGTTGCTAAATTGTACAGACTGGGCTCAAATTTGCAGTTCTCCTACCTCTGCCTCCTAGAGTGCTGGGATTACACGTATGTGCCACCACACTCAGCTTCAATATGGGAAAGACTCAAATCTACAGAAGAAGCTGCACAGGTGGTATAGTGACACCCATGTGACCTTCACCTGCATTTTACTGCTCATATTCAACTGAGTTCATGGTTTTAATCTGTTGTCCAGATCTACATCAACAGACAGAGAAATGAGTATGGATATATGGTCGTCCACTAAGAAATGCTTCTAAGTACTCATTTTTTTTTTCTCTTTCTTTTTGTTTTGTGTAGTTCTGGTTGGACTTGAAGTCACTATACAGCCCAGATTGACCTCAAACTCAAGGCCATCCTCCTGCATCAGCCTCTCAAGTGTTGGGATTGCAGGCGCCGGCCCCCATGCCTGGCTCTAAATACTCATTTCTTTTGTGTGTTGGATGCTTTTCCTTCCCAACCCTATCTGCAGGGGGGAGACCCAATGATGCCTTAACAGTAACAAACACACCCACAGCCAGACTGGTCTGGCTTTTTCAGTCCCATTCCTCCGCTACAAACTGGTCTTCCATTTCATCGGAGAGACAGCTGAGTTCAGGCTGGGCAGGAAACGCTCAAGACAAGCCTGGAACATCCCACTTGCTGGGAAGTTAGGACGTGCCCAACAGCAGTGGGGCCAAGGAGCCAATGTGAAGGGGATCTGCTGGCCACCCCAGGGGCAATGTGAGCATCAAAATAAATACGCATAGTGATGGATTGTAATCCACCGATGAAAGCATGAAACCGTGAGTCCATGTTGACATACATAAAGGAAGACAAACATCTCTGCAGAAAAAATGTCTGGCTCACACAGACCCGTCTAGTTCCCATCCCCCATGGCAGGATGCTGCCTCTGTCCTTCCTTGCTGGTGTCCCCTTTCTACCCTGGGGAGAGTCCTGGGTCCAAACAGCATCCTTACGTTTATCTACTCGCACTCCACCCTGCAATGTTCACAAAGTAATGCAGGGCTGACACCCACACCAGCACAAACCCACGAAGGAAATGCTAGTGTGCATGTGCGTTCTTCTTAGCCTTAGGGTTACACAGCCCAGGTGGTGCCCAGCATCTGAAGCACAAGAGGACATTTCTGAGGTGGGTTTTGATAGAGGAGTAAGAGTCTCCCAGGAGGAGGAGAAGAGTGCCCAGCGGGAAGAAGCAGGCACAAAAGCCTAGAGAGTGGAGTGGAAGAGCGGCCCCCCAACACTCTCGGTCCAGCAGTCTGCCTGCAGTGAAGGCAGTAAGAAAGGGTGGGTGTGGGCACTGTGCACCTGCAACGCCTCTCGTGAGCTTGGACTGATGTAGCTGGCACGGGGAATCTCCAGAGGCATCAGGACTTAGAAAATGTGGAGGTTAGCCGGGCATGGTGGCACACACGTGTATTTCCAGCACTCAGGAGGCTGAGGCAGGAGGATTGCCTGAGTCCAAAGCCAGCCTGTACTGCATAAGGGACCCTGTTTCAAGAAAAGAAAATAAAAGAGGGCACAGATGCAGTGCCTGGGCCAGCAAGATGGCTTTGCAGCATTTTGCCTCAGTTTCATTATCTGTAACATGGGGACGAGGGGGCCCATTTCCGCTACAGGGAGAGTCCCTGGGGCTGCACCGGCTGATGGGGTCTGGGGCTGGGGCAGGCAGCCTGCAAGCCCTCCCTGCTCTGTGACAGGGCTCTGCTTCCTGTTTCTCTCCCATCAAGGGTAGTTTCAGTCTCAGCTTCAAAAGAACAAACACACTCAAAACAAAGGAAGCCGGTGCTGCCTGCAAAGGAAGCAGGAAGCCGCCAGCCCAGGGCCTGTGCTGAGCCCAGCTGCTGGAGCTCAGGGACAGCACTGGGGATAGCAGGATGGAGTCCGTGGCACTGTACAGCTTCCAGGCCACAGAGAGTGACGAGCTAGCCTTCAACAAGGGCGACACGCTCAAGGTACAGGGGACGGGCCAGACTGAGCGGCCCACGTGGGGTGGGTTAAGAGCTGGGCGAGGATACTCCCTGCGGGGCTCGGTGTCTGCGGTCACTGATTGTGTGATTGTAAATGTGCCAGCCAGTCTCCCCGAGCCTCATTTCCCTCATCTGGGAAATGGGCAGAGAGCTAGTGAGCCCTCCTTGAGGGTTGTAAGAGTTGAAGGAGACACCACTGCAGCAGTCAGTAGAGGCTGGATCAACCTCCTGGGTTTCTAGAAAAGTATTTTGAAAAGAGCTTTTAGGAGAAAGCGGGGGTTGGGAGAACGAGACTGCATGTGTGGCACGAGAGGAGGTCTCAGGAAAGACTTAGGTACCCACCTAACCTAAGCGAGTTAGAACGGTGTGATTGTAGGACCGAGGTGAGCTTCCCAGCAGTGTGGAGAAAAGTGGAAACAGTCACACACAACTCATTTTGCCTTGTCTGGGCCTTTGTGATGTCCTGTCAGCACAGCCTGGCCATGGGTCGGTGGGATCTTCTGGGCGTTTCCCTGCCCTCTTCCCTCCCATGCTCCCTGTGCCTTACGGAGCCCTCAGTGTGCAAGTTTGCATACAGCAGCTTAGTCCAGGGGTACGTTCAGGACTCAGGAGAGGCCATGCCAAAAGTTGGGCACTGGGGCAGTCACTCTCGCACCCTGAGCAAACCACTGCCCTTCCTTGGGCTGCACTCTTCCCACAGGAGCAGTGGGTATTAGACTAGACGTCCCTTCTCTAGCCCAGGCTCTGCTCTTGTCCCCAAGCTTGAAGCACACAAAGGGACAGGAGCCTCCCCTTTGTTGCCACCTGCGGAGCTGGGCCTCTAACTCTGCAGTATACCAGGTATCTACTTTAGCCAAAGGGCCGCAGGGGACCAGCACCATCACTGCCTTTGGCCGGGAGATGTAACAGGGATGCAGCTCGTCCCGGGTGGTGTGGCACCAGCCTGGAACCTCAGTCTCTTTGACCTGGAGCCTGTGTGCAGTGTGCCTGAGACTGCAAAGGCAGCCCCGGGGTGAGAGTCAGCATCGGCGAAATCCCCTCTTCATCCCGGGGCCGGCCCCCGCCCTCCTGAGCTGGCTGCAGGTCCCTGCACATGTGGCGCCTGGCTCTGGCGCAGGCTGAGTTCAGAGGGTGAGCACCCAGTCCTGAAACTCTGAGACCTCAACTCCTCTCCTGAGAGCAGGGGGCGCTTCCAGACCCAGGCTTGGGAGCAGTGGGGGGAGTGGGACAGGGAGGAGACTGCAGCGGGTAGGCTGGGACTGACCCAGGACTGGAGGGACCAGCCAGCAGTGGACGGGGCAGGCAGCAGGACCCCTGAGGCAGTTGTTAACTGTGACTTCCCCTCCGCCCTCCTAGACTCCAGAGCCTCCCACTGCACCCAAGATGAGTCAAGTTTACTCTTTACTAGAGTAGAGCAGTGGGGGTGCATCTCACCAAGGTGCTGGCTGCTCAGGAAAGAGTGAGCTTGAGACTCTCCTGCCCTAAGCACCTGAAGGCAGGGCCCTGTGGGCAGCCGGGCACACAGCAGAGCCTGTGCACACTAGGGCTCCATGAGACGCAGGCAGCATGGCAGGAAGAGGGCAGGGGGACCGCAGGGACTCGTGCACATGTTCTCTTAGGGACCAAGGTGATGGGGTGCGCTAGGAGCTGCCTTCTTCACTGGAGCAGCCCTGAAATACTGGCTGCTGCCAGGCTGTGTTTAGCACCCACATGAGACGCAGCACACCCAGGACAGGCGTGAGGAGGCCGCTTTAGGTGGGCAGTCAGGGCGGCTTTTCAACAGAAGTGACCCCTGAGCTACAGCCGCAGGATGACCAGGAACCGACCATGTGAAGATGGGGAGGACAGTGCCAGGCTGGAAAACAGCTGGTGCAAAAGCCCTGAGGTAGGACCATCGTGATGTGCTTGAAGAGTCGAAAGAATATCTGTGGCCAGACAGTAGTGAGTGTATGGAGACGGCAAGACTGAGGCAGGGAAGGTGGCCAGGAGTCCGGGCTGGCTGCTGCCCCCCAGGGAGAAGTGAAGGTAGTGTAGACAGAGAAAAAATCGCGACAGAAGTCACGAATATTAACATCTTTGGTATGTAAAGAGCTCTTACATATCAAGCGTCTTCAAGGTTTTTGAGGGTGTGGGAAAATACGCATTTTGTGGGTGGTGCACTGGTAGATTTATATTATCATTGGAGGGGCATCTGAGAAATATATAGAGATCTTTAAAAATATTGGCTAGGGAAAATGATGTGGGGTTATAGTCTCAGCTCCTTAGGAGGCTGAGACAGGAGGATCACTTTAGCCTAGGGGTTTAGACCTAGCCTGGGCAGCATAGTGAGGTTCTCATCTCAAAAACAAAACAAAATAAAACTGCCCTGTGGCTCTGGAACCCTTTCCTGGGAATCAAATGTAATGGAAACGGATGTTTTCCCGCACCATCAAGACTCAGGGCATACCTGGCAGGTCCAGACCCTGTTCTAGAGGCACCAGCCAAGTATTAGGGAGGAAAACAGAAGTAGCTGCCCCTGCCACACAGCTGATAGCTGGTGGCAGACAGAAAGCACGAGTTAGACACAGAAATAAAACCCAGAGCTTGCTGGGTGCCGACAGTGCTGCGGGGAGGATTAGGGGACGGAGAAGCTGCTGAGGGTTTGCCTTGTCCTCTCCACATGGGCGGCCGTGGAGAGGCCTTTCTTGATGCCTTCCTCTGCCCTCCACTGACAGTCCCTCGGCCCCTCCCACACACCCCACATGCGTCACCCTGGCGTTCTTTTCAGGATGACGACTCCAACATAAACTCTCTTGTTTACTTGTTTCTTTCCTTGTTTATGTCTGTCTCTGCCACTGGGATGTAAGCTCCATGTTCCCTGCTGTGTCCCCAGGGCTTACGCAGGCCTGGCATACAGGAGGCAGTTACTAGCTGCGTCAGGCAGGGACAGGGAGAAGCACAACACCCAGAGTGGGAGGCCTGGACAGGCCAGGAAGCCGGTCTCTGAGTATTTGGGGATTTTAGGCAATGTCAATAGTAAGATTCAGCTAACGTGACCATGAGAACATTTCTGGGTCTTCCCAGTAGAAAACCAGGAGGTCTGACAACAAAACCAGGGATCAGAGCAGGTGTGTCACAGTCCCAGGCCCACGTGGGAGGATGCAGCCCACAGGACACTGCCACGGTCAGTGTTGGCCGTAAATGTACCCACTGAGTGGCTGAAGAAACTGAGTCCCAGGACGCAGAGTCAGGAGCAGACCGAGTGGTCCAGGGGAACCGTGGCTGTAGAAGGCAGCCCTCAGGCCCTGATTTCCTCATTCGGTTGGGTGAATTGTTCTGCTTCATTTTGAGTGAAAGTTTTTCTGAGTTGGCCACCTGCTTCCGTCTGTCTCTGGCGCTGTTGACCTTGCTTGAACTCAAGGACAGGAAGGAAGGGCTCGACCTGGCCTGGCGGACAGAGTGGGGTTCTACTCTGGGAGACCCAGGCCTCCCCCGAGGGGGCCCGTCCCTGGCCGAGCTCATGCTCCATGTGGGACTGCCTGGGGCCCTCTCTTCTCTGCGCCCAGTGTTTTCTACTAATAAATCTCCCCCAGGAGCGAGCCCATGTGCAGCCCTGCTCCAGGACTGACAGGCAAAGGTGGTGGAGCAGGGTGAAAACAGTAGGTCAGCGCACTCCTAGACCACAGAGCCAAACAGCCCACATCTGAGGCCTGGGGCTCTGCATCACCCCCGCTGTGTGGCCTTGGCTGTGATACTTCCCCCCTCTGAGCTCATCTGAAAAAGTAGCATGATGTTGACCTTGCAAGGGTCCACGAGAATTGGGGTGACACACAGAAGGTGTGTCCAGGAAGTGGAGGAAGGGGCCCAGCCTGCTACTCAGCCTACCTGTGGGGCGATGGAGCCTTGCCGACTGGGACGATGTGCCTGAGCAGCGTGAGCAGGCCCAGCTAGCCCTGAAAACCAGCCACGGGCCCTGTTCCTTTCCCGGTACCAGACCCTCCTACCATCGTCACTCCTGGGCTCAGACCCATAAGGGTGTTTTAAATGTGAGTCGCCTTGTATGATACTGGTCACAGAGCTCAGGCTGGGGTCCCGCACCTTCTGGGGACTCTGATCTTCACCTCAAGGCTCAGCGCACGGCAGGCAGGTACTGTCGGACCCCTCATGCTCCAGCACAGTTCAGGCACTGAGGGGCCCCAGCTCTGCACCCGAGACCTCCCAGACTCAGCTGCCCCAGTTCCTCAACCCAAAACCTCCTCTGAGTCCCTAGCTGTCCCATCCTAGGAGGCTGTGGCCCTCTTGATGGGTGTTCTTGGGCCAGGAGCAGGCAGGACTGTGGAATCAGACAGCAGCTCTCACTTGGGCCACGTGACCCTTGGCAGATCCCCACCCGGGCCCAGGCCCTCTTCTGTGAATGGGCTCAGGCATTGGTGTGGGAGAAACCCACCTGGGCCTGGCCAGTGGCAGAGTCTCAGCAGGTAACAGGTGTTCCCTTTTGGTGACCCACAGATCCTGAACATGGAGGACGACCAGAACTGGTACAAGGCTGAGCTCCGAGGAGCTGAGGGCTTTGTCCCCAAGAACTACATCCGTGTCAAGCCCCACCCGTGAGTACCAACCTGGAGGCTGTGTCCCCACTGGCTGGGTCAGGATGAGTCAGGCATGAGCTCCCTGGGCGCTAGACATTGCCAAACAGAGTCTATCAAGGTGGTGTGGGAGCCGAGTCTAGGGTTCCAGTGTCCTGGGGCCTAGGACCCGCTGGTCCTGGGAAGTCCAAGTGAGGTTCTTAGCAGGGCATTCACCACCATGGCCCTCGGAAGAGCAGGACAGTGGCAGCCCAGCGCAGGCCTGGGTGCCTAAGAAATCAATGAAACTAACTGGACATGCTTCCAATGACAGCTGAGCCACTGCCTGGTCATCTGCCAAAGGCTGGCCATGGCTCAGGGGCCCAGCAAGGGTGATATGGGGACACAGAGGAGTCAAAACAGTCCTGTTCTATGACAGGTACAGGATATAGAGAAAATGCTACGTGGGAAGAGGGTCAGCCCTGAGGTGAATAACCAGAGGAGGCTTCTCAGAAAAGGTAGCTCCTCAGAAGCGAGGGCTTTGAGGGTGTATAAGAGTTGGCTATGTAGAAAAAGGTATCTCCACGTGTTCCTAGGAGAGGGCCAGGATGAGCCAAGGGAGGGCGGTGAGGGAGAAGCTGAGGCTGTGGGACAGACATGGGGCTCGAAGTGCCCAGCTCAGCATACTGGGCAGCCACGGAGTGTTAAGGGGAGGCAGGCACTCAGTCAGATGTGCAGGCAGGTATAGTGCCAGGCAGGCTGGAAGGCAGAGTGGGAGCTGTGACGCTGTGTGGCTGTGGGGTGGAAGGAAAGGAGGTGCAGGCCTTCGGTGAGGCCCAGAGGGTATTTCCTCTTTATCTTTCTTTGAATTATTTTTGAACCTGCCAGGACCTCCAGCTTCCTCTGCCACTCTGCTGGGCTTCAGCGTTTCCAGCCGTCCCCTCAGGATCCCAGCCTCCAGTCTGGGCAGGGGAAGGGCGAATCATGGCAAGCAAGGAGGGGAGAATCCAGTACTGGCACGAGGCAGGCCCAGGACCTCAGGCTGTGCTGAGCCCAGGGCACATCTGGAAGCGGAGGTGGGGAGTAGGGGGGTAAGGACCATGGACTGGGCCATGGGAGCCTTCAGTGGAGGAGCCTTCAGTGGAGGAGCTGGCCTTGCGGGTGGGAAGCCTGCCAGGCCCGGCTTCAGAGAAGCGCAGAGCAGTGTCTCCACTTGCTGGGCCATCTGGAGTCAGGCACCCTGAAGGGTCCTTGGGAGCCAGGCAGGGTTGCAGCCTCTGGGCCTGCCCATTGCATGGGGCCTTGCCCAGGTGCTAGCCCCAGGTTCGTAACCTCAGCACCTGCATTGTGCCCACATAGCCTCGGGGAACTCCAGCTCTACACCTGACTGAGCCCCAGGGTGTGGGGGTGGGGTCGGGGAGGGGCTGGTACCAGGCTCACTCCCTCCTTGAGCACTCAGGTCACCCCTGCTGGTCCCCAGAACCCCTGAGAGATGTAAGACAACGACCCCGAGCTGGCCCCAGAGGGAGGAGGCCCCTGATCCAGCTGAGTGGCCAGGGCGGCGGGCGCAGGGAGGGCTTATCTAAAGGAAGAGCGTGGCCCGCTGGCCTGGGAGTTGAAGTTGATAGGGGGGGATGTGGGCGAGGAGGAGTTTGAACCGCTCATCACAGCAGCCGCAGCAGCAGCAGCAGCAGCAGCCGCAGCAGCAGCAAATATTTGCATGCAACTGCTCGGGAGCGTTCTCCCTCTGCGGTTCAGTTTCCACATCAGTGAGGGGCGCTCCAAGAGGATGATGGAGTTGGGACGGGGTGCAGGGAAGGGGCTCCCGAGGGGAGGAGTGCGTTACCCCGCCCACAGCCTCCAGGGAGGAGGGGCAGGACTGCGCAGAGGGCGCTCCTCTGAACCGGGCGGGGCGACACCCTCTGCCGCCCACACATTGCCGTCTCCTCTGGGGTTTTGTGGCTTCTTCACAGGCCCGGGCCCCTTGGGAAACTCCCATCCAGGGCCCGCAGCAGTGGGGCGGAGCCTGCGGCAGCTCCCTCTCCCTCTGGACCCGGGACCTCTAGCTTTTACTGTGCTGGGCAGGCTGCAGTCTGAGCCTCTGGCCGGGCTCGCCCAGGTTGAGGGGGCGCAGACGCGGTTCTCTGGTGTCCCTAGCTCCACGGAGCCCTGGCAGAGCGCCCCCCAGTGACCACCTTCCCAGACTCGCCTTGCAGGGGACACCACCATGATGTGGGGGGGACAGTGACCTGGAAGCTCAAGTCTGGGGGTTTGGGCCCCCCGGAATTAGTCCCTGAGGCACGGGGAGCAGCGAGGCTGTAGACAGGGAAGAGCGGACAGGAGGGGCTCTGGGGAGACCACTGCTGCAGGGGCAGCAGGGGCTCTATGGGGCGGGCAGGACCTGCACTTAAGAGGCTCTCTGGCTCTGTGGGGAGCTGGGGCGTCTCCCCGCCCCCTCAGCCTGCCCCACACGCAGACCAAAGCCTGGCACCGAGTTTGTGCAGCAGCCTCCTCAGGTAGCTGTTGGGTACGGGGGCAGGGCTTTGACCCAGCACGTCTGCCTCTCCCTGTGGAGGCAGTTGCTGGCACCGACAATAGGAGAGGCCGCGCCCCAGGCTGCAGGAAGCATTTGCTGGAGGTCGGGAGGGAAACAGAAGAGGGGACAGAGGCCCTGGATCCTGCCCTTGGCCTGTCAGAATCTCACTAAGACTCTTCTAGCTGCTGTGGGTCAACACAGGCATCAAAGCCAAAGCTGGGTAAAGGCTCTGGAGCCAGGAAGTCCCCAGTGCCCCAGTGGCGGGTGTCTGTCCATGCTGGCTGCTGTGAGAGAAGACCACAGGCTGAGAGGTTGGGAGGCAGCTCGTATTTACTGTGCACAGTTCTGGAGGCTGGGTGGCCAAGGCCAAGGCACAGGCAGGCACCCTGCTCGGTGAGGGCCACCTGCTTCACACATGGCCATCTTTTAGCTGTGCCCTCATGTGCTGAAGGGGCAAGAGTTCTCTGAGGCCTTGTCTATAAGAGCACGGTCTTAGCTCATGTTCTGCTGCTGTAACAAAACACCCGAACCTGGACAGTGGATAAAGAACAGAGGTTTATTTGGCTCAGGCTGGACACATGAGTGTGGCACCAGCAGTGGCTTGGTGTGTGCTAAGGGAGGCCAGCAGGCGAGCCAGCGTGCTTGTGTCTCCCACAGAGCTGCTTGCTCTGTAACTCTTAACCCACTAACCCAAAAGGAATCGACCCACTCGTGAGGACAGATCCTTCATGACCCATCACCTCCTGAAGGTTCCATTTCCCACACTGCTGCCTTGGGGAATCACGTGTTGCCAACACACAAACTTTTGGGGGACACATGTAAGCCATGGCCGGCTCTGGTCTCATTTGTGAGGGTTTCTAGAAGCTCACCTCCCAAAGGCCCTACCTCTAAATCCCATCCACTGCACTCGGGAGGCTGAGGCAGGAGGATTGTTTCGAGTTCGAGACCAGCCTGGGCTATAAAGTGAGCTCAAGGCCAGCCTGAACTGCATACCGAGACCCTGTCTCAAAAAGACCAAAAATCAATCAATCAATCAGTCAATCAATCAGTCCCATCCACTGAGCATCGGGGGTGGAGGGCAAACAGTTTTTCTATGGGTGGATGAATGCCCCAGAGGCCAGGGCCAGGCAGACATGTGGGGTCCAACCTTCCCTGGAGATCTCCAAGTGGCCTGAGTCTGCACAGCTGTGGATGGTGCAAGAGAGCCCTTTCCTCACCAGATCATGGCTGCTATTGTTGCATGTCATTTAGTTATTTGCAGTACTGGGGATTGAACCCAGGACTTCAAGCACTGTAGGCAAATGCTTTCCACTGAGCTGCACTCCTAGCCCTGTTTTATGTTTTTTGATTTTGAAGACTCTACTGTAGGCTGGGTGTGGTGACTCATGTCTGTAATCCCAGCCCTCAGGAAGGTGAGGCAGGAGGATCACTGTGAGTTGGAGGCCAGCTTGGGGCTACATAGTTCAAGGCCAGCCTAAAATAAACCGTGAGGCCCTGTCTCAAAAAACAAACAAACAAACAAACAAACAAAAACAAAATCTATCATGTAAGCTAGGCAAGCTGGTGCAGGACTGTGAACTGTAACTTTAGCACTTAGGAGGCTGGGACAGGAAGAGTGAAAGTTTAAGTTTGACCTGGACTGTACAGCAAGACCCTGTCTCAAAAAGCAAGTAACAAACAAGAAGAACCTGCCATCTAAAATGGGAAAGTTAGACTGAGGTCGGCTGGCTTGTGGCTCAGTTGGAGCCTGATTTTCCTCAGCATGTGTGTTTGCCTGGTGCAATAGGAAAGGCCCTGGAGCAAACACTGAGCTGTGTCTCAGCTCCTGCTTGCCTCACCTCATCACACTGCGCCTCAGTTTGCCCACATGTAAAACGGGTTCCTACATCTTTGATCTACGTCAAGGACCAGAGGGGTTGAGGCCCTGCCTTTGGGTGAGCGTGGGAGCCTGACCCCAGTGTCTTAGTGCCCCTCTCTCCACAGATGGTACTCGGGCAGGATTTCCCGGCAGCTGGCTGAAGAGATCCTGATGAAGCGGAACCACCTGGGTGCCTTCCTGATCCGGGAAAGCGAGAGCTCACCAGGCGAGTTCTCCGTCTCTGTGAAGTGAGCTTGCCCCTGGGGAGGTGCAGATGGGGCCAGGCAGGGCCTGGAAGCTGGGGACACCCTGAGGCAGTGGGAACAGCGGGTGTGCGGAGAGACACAGTGCTAGGCTGTGAGATGCAGATCATCGGGTGAGCAGTAAAGAGCCCTGGAAGCATCCCTGTCAGGAGGGAAAGGGGGGTGAGGCGGTGGGAGGCCGGGCAAGGGAGACGCAGGGGCTGGGGCAGGTGCCCAGGCAGGCTCTAGACAGGTCCCACTCTGTGCTGAGATCCCTGCAGGACAGGCTGCGGCCAGGCGGCCTGGGGTTCTCATTGCAGTGCTGCCATGCCGTTGGATATGTCACTCACCTCCTCTGAGCCTGTTTCCTCACGTGTAAAGTAGGCTGCCATAGGAATGGGTGTGTCCATATACAGTACTTAAGGCATGGGTGGGGAGAAGTACTACCCTGCTTAGAACAGTGCCTGGCACTGTGACAGGTTCTTGTTGGTTGGAGGTGACAGGGTCAGGACCCTGGCCGGTCCAGGTGCTTCCTACTCCCAGGGCTCCCAAGAGCAGGGCCGGAATGTAGGCTCCAGGGACTTCGCGCTGAGCTCTGGGAGCCTGGGACAGGCATGGGAGAGGACAGAGGTGCTGCCCTGACAGGCTGCAGTTTTCCTGAGGGGCAGAGCGCAAACAAGCCCAGAGTGAGCCAGGGTGAGAAGACGTCACTCTGCTCCACGCAGGCCGCAGCACCTGAGCAAAGAGTGGACCTTGGGAGCAGCGGCTGCCCAGGGCTGGGGTGAGGGTGGCAGTAAGGAAGAGAAGGAACTGGGGGCCTTCTGGACAGAGGGGTCAGTGAGTGCAAAGGCCCTGGGGTGTGTAGGAGCCCAGAGGCTGGGTCGTCGGAGTACAGAGAGCAAGAGCGGGGGCCGGGAGTCACTCAAGAGGAAAGGGCCTGCAGCAGAGGCTGTTTTCTCACGGAGCGAAAGGGAGCCCAAGGTTCCCGAGCAGAGAGCGAGGTTCGAGGTTCGAGGTTCGGTCAAGTTCCATTGTGCAAAGCAATCTCCTCGGGCTGCCGTGCGCAGGGTGCGAAGGGCAGGCTGCCCGCAGGAAGGCCAGCAGGGGGCCACATAGGAGGTGACGTCTGGGCCTCGGCGGCGAGCGGAGGGGGCGCGGTGGCCAGGTCGGGGCGGCGACACCAGTCGGGGCGCTGTGCACCGGTGCGGGCCGGGGCGCTGACCCCGTCGGGGCGGGAAGGAGGTGGAGCCGCGGGCGCGGTGCCGCAGGGTCGGAGGACGGGCCGGGCGGCAGCTCACGGGAGCGCGGCGGGGTCCCGGCCCAGCCCCGCCCCCGGCCCCGTCCGCCGCTCCGCGCTCCCAGGGACCCGCGCCTCCACTTCCCCTCCTGACCACGGGCGCGGAGAGGCGGGCAGGGTCGTCGTTCCGCGGCCGCAGAGGCAGGAAGCGGCCGTTTCCGAGGGCCGGCTGTCCAGGCCCGGTCATCTCCTGGGAGCGGCGCCCGCCAGGCGGGCTGGGCCGGCTTCGCGCGAGCCCCGGGGTCATCCCGTGCGGCCCGTCCGGAGCCGCCCCACCCTCTGACTCTCGGGGAGCTCCTCGTGCGGCCCTGGTGCTGCCCCCTCCCGGCAGCCCCGGGTAAGTGGCCGGGGATCAGACCTGAGCGCCTGGGGAGGCCGTTCAACACGCATTTGTTGTTGTTGTTGTTTTAAAAGCGTTTATTAAGCACCAGCTGTATGTGAACCACAGCGCAGGACAGGAGAGGAGTCAAACCCAAGGAGTGTGATGGGAAATTCACAAGCCGGCCCCAGAAAGCCTCCAAGTTGAAGAGATGCGTAATTCAGGGACCGTGGGGACACATCCTGCACAGTGCAGGCACCCACGAGGAGCTGACAGCTGAGCTGGGCTCTGACACGTGAATGGGAGTCTGGTACACAGGAGAGAGTTAGACATACTAGGCACAGGAACTGCACGTGCAAAGGCCCAGAGTGAGGGGTATGTGTGGATAAGTCTGTCCAGAAGGGCCAGTGGGCAGTGCCAGCGAGTGGTTGTCGGGTGGGGGAGCCATGTGACTGGGAAGGGACCTGAGCGCCCAGCTTAGAGAAATCCTGGCACTCACCCCCCCTCCCCCCGGTCCTTCCCCAAGGTCAGACCTGGCCAGATGCCCCAAGGTCAGACCTGGAGGAGCTGCTGGGCTTGTTGGCAGTGATTTGTGCACAGGAGCACCAGGTGGCAGTGCCGGCCCTTGCTCTGCCAGGCCCAGCCAGGTGCACCTCCCACTCCTGGTCCTTCCCTTCACAGGGCCTTCCCATGGTCCTTGGGTGGCTGCCAGGCAGGGTGAGTGGAGGATATGATTGGGAGTGTGGGATTTCAGGCACGATCTCAGCTCTGGTCCCTGCTGGCTGTATGACCTGGGCAGTTACCCTCTGAGCCTCAGTTTCCTCATCTGTAAAGTGGACACTCATGTAAAAAGATTAGATGGTGATTAGTATACAGTAAGTGCTCAATAAACATCAGGTGTAGGGGTTGCCGCACAACGTGCCAAGGAGGGGTGGGGAGCCCCTCTTAGTCCTGAGGCTGCTCCCTGCTTCTGCCCACAGACCCAGGCCTCGCAGAGAAGAGTCCAGTCCTGGCTTTGCTCAGGACCCACTGGGTGGTCTCAGGCAGTCTTCAGCCCTTCTTGACTGTATGACATCTAAGACCTGGAGACAGTGACCTGAGGAACTGTAAAGTTGGGCACCTGCAGGCCATGCAGGAACGTAACACCCTTACATTGGGTTTGGGGGCTCCTCTGCCCTTGCTGGCTTGGCCCAGGGAACCCTGGCCCCACGACGCGTGGCACCTCCTGTCTGCTCATGCCAAGCCCCATAAAGCTGTCAGAGGGGGTTTATAGGCCTCGTGTGGCCTCCCAGAGTGACAGTGGCTACAGCCAGCTGCCCTTTATGAGTTTACAAAGGGCTGCCCCACTCCCCCTGCAAGAAGCAAGTCTGTACTGGCTGCCAGCAGGCCAGGGGCCAAGGCTGGTGTGCAGGGCCTGGGCTGTGTGACTTCTGCTCACTGCTATCAGACCATGGGGACTCTTCTGCCATGAATGACAGTTTGTCCCTAGTGAGGTGTTTTGCTTCCCCCCCTGGCAGAGGTGCCCTGGCATTGATGTGCATGCTTTTGCCCATCAAGCCACGGGCTACCTGCTGCTCCAGGCCCTGTCCTTGGTACTGGCGGGTCAGCCACCCACAAAATAGGACAAAGCCCCTTGTCCTCTAGGTGCCTGTGTCTGCTGGGGTGACAGACAGTAAATGATTAGGGAATTCTGTAAGGTCTTGGGTAGCACTCAAGGCCCTGTGCAAATGAAGCAGGGAGGGCTGGGGGTGTCAGTTCAGGAAAAGGCAGACAAGAAGGAAGGAAACTAGTACAATCCCCAGAAATTCAATTTGTAGGAAAGAAAACGGAAGCTCAGAGAGGTCCAGTAACTTGCCCAAGGTCACACAGCAGGGGATAGAAGAGCTGGCACCCACTGACCCTCTGTACCTGGCAGACCTGCTGTGCCTCTCCACCTACTGTCCCTGAGCCCACCCAAGACCCGCAGGGCGCTCCCTCCTGTGCACTGCCCCTCCCAAGGTCAGTTTGACAGAGACCCCCTGCAGGGCAGCTAGCACCACACCTGTGCTCCTGGCCCTGGCGGGGAAGAGGGAACCCCCCCAACCCCGTCTTTTTTTGCTCTCTGGGCTGCTGCTGTCACCTTTCTGCTACTGTTGCCACCAGGCCAGAAAAACCCGCTGGGCAAGACGGACTGCTCCTGTGTCAGGCTAGACATGGTCCTTTTTCATGTGTGTGTGGATGTATTTCTTTTATTGTTATTTTCTTCATTTTAATTTTTATTAGTACTGTTTGTAGTTCGTAGTGATTACATTCTCTGCGGGAAGTTGGTACACATGGTAACACTTCTTAATTCTTTTTATGTCCACCCCACCATCTTTTGGTTCTCTTCCCATTCTCAAAATGAACTTGGTCCTTAGTCTTCTGTGTCAGCCGGGGACCTAGGTCATCCCCTTATCCCTTTAGTAGGTGGGTGTGGGGGTCACACAGCAGCAAATGTAGCCACAACTGCTCAGCAAGAGACGTGCTCAGGGTCACTCCCGCAGGGAAGGCCTAACTCTACCCCTGAGCTCACACCCAGGCCTGGGGCAGACCTCTGCCCACCCAGGGATCGAGAGTGGCTGCCCCCACTTCCACTTGGCTCAGCCTCCCTGAAGTCTCCCCACTCCAGGCCTAGAGCTCATCCAACCCAGTCCTCCAGGATCAGGGTCACCAAGCCCCAGACTCGGCTGCTCTGCAGCCCAAGGCTTCCTGGAGCCTGGGGTGGTGGGGCTGAGGCCCAGGAGGCCCCACGTGGCAGTGTCCGGTTCTCAAATGCATCAGGGCTCCGTCCAGCCCTTGAGGGATGCCAACCATCGAGATCAGGCTAAGGGAAGAGATGTGTTGTTTCAGGCGAAGGAGCCCAAATGCCGCCACTGGGAGTCAGAGGAGCCAGCCCCACCTGGCCTGAGCTGGGGGCCAGGCTGCCCCACGAGGGCTGCAGCAGTCCCAGGAGGCCATTGAGCAGCTGTGGGCAACTGCTCTGCTATCTGGGCTCCCCTTCTTAGCTGTCACCGAGGAAGGGTAGACAGGATAGAAGGACAAGACCTGTTGTTGACTGAGCCCTGCATAGGCTAGCGGCTGGCATGTTTCAGATTTGAGATTTCCAGATTCCCAGGATAGAAAGTTCTGGAATAACTGAGTCCTTTTGCCTCTTTCCCTATTTCATCTCTGGTTCTCCACTCCCTGCCCCGCCCCCATATGATCAGATAACTCCTATGTTCAGGGTAACAACTCCAGACACCAAAAATGCTCAGTGGTGATTATCAGGGGTTGAAATCTTAGTCCAACCTGCCACACCCACAGGACCAGGGCCACCTGTATCCCAAGCTGCTCCTCCAGGCTTCCTGCCTCTGCACTGGGTGCCCCACATGAGAGCTATTAGGTCCCCACTTCCTGACTTCTCTCCTGCCTGGCCTTTGGTGGCTGTCACTCTACTACTTAGAGCAATGCTTCCCTGCACACCCCAGCCAAAGTCCAGGAAAACCCTGAGTGGGCACTGCACAGAGGAGCTGTGGGCTCAGAGGCTGCCTCTGGAATCACGTGACCTCTGGCGGCTGCAGCAGGTCAGACAGGTGGGGTCTCTGTCCCCTGCCCACCTGCTTCTACTTTTTTTTGTTGTTGTTTTCTTCCGGTACCGGGAATCAAACTCACGACCTTGTGCTTGCCAGGCAGGTGCTGTGCCGCTGAGCTAAATCCCCAGCCCTCGCACCTGCCTCTATACCCCAGGCACATACATATCCCACAGTCCTCAGCACAAGCTGCTCAGTCACCAGGAACAGTGTTCAAGGAGGGCACACAGAGGAGGGTTTTTTTGTTTTTTTGAGACAGGGTCTTGTTGGATAGTTCAGAGGCAGCCTGAACTAATGATATAGACCAGGATGGTCTCAAACTTGCAGAGCTGCCTCAGCCTCCTGCCTCAGCCTCCCAAGTGCTAGGATTACAGGCATGCGCCACTGCACCTGGCTAGAAAGGAAGTTTGTCTCTGGCTTGGAGACATTGCTTACCTGGTCTAGAGCCTTTGTTTCCACAGGAGGACCACTAGAGTGAGCCACTCCAAGTGCTGGGCAAGTCATAAGGTTGGGCCTGCCACCAGGGCACCTGTGTCAGGGTTAGGATCCTCCAGAAAGAGGTTCCTTTTTCTTTTTTTTGAGACAGAGTCTCCCTGTGTAGTTCAGACTGGCCTCAAACTCATGGTGATCCTCCTGCGGCAGCCTCCCAGGTGCTGGGATTTTTTTTTTTTCTCCAAGTGCTGGGATTATAAGCATGTACCACCACGTCCGGCCAGGGCCAGGTTTCTAAAGGTGTGGCTGGTGACACTCCATTCCTGAGTCCCCACTAGATAGGACCCGCAGGGCCTGCTCTGCCTCATCGCCCTTCCGGGGTCCAGCATGCAAGTCATTGGGAGCGGTAGGCTACAGAAGGCTGTGCGAAGGGCCGAGAGTCCCAGGGCGGTGACTGATTCTGAGGAACGAGTCTGAGGCAGCTCCTAGAGGAGGGTCCCTTTTACCAGGGCCTTGAAGCATGAGAATAAGAGAATTGCTTCCCACCGGAAAGGGCTGGCAGTGTGTTTGTGACTTAGTCACTTTCCTCACTGCTGGGACACGATACCTGACACCCTCGGTTTAAAGAAGCAGAGGTTTATTTTGGCTCACGTCTTTTAGTTCCGAGTTGGCTGGCTCCAAGGTAGGATGCATGGTGGAAGGGCCTCGGCAGAGGGAGGGCGGCTGTTCACGGCAGGAGGGTCAGGAAGCAAAGAGAGAAGGGAAGATCCAGGAAGAGAGATGCACCCTTCTAGATCACACCCCTGCAAACAGCAAGTCAGCTAAAGCACCCCCATAATTCAATCATTTTCCAAAAGCCCTGCCTCTGAGCACATGAGGCTCTTGGGAGATATTCTTGATCTAAAGCATAACAGTTTAGGAGTGGGTTCAGACTGCTTGGTGTAGGCCGGGTCAGGGGCACCCATGGTTACCCTGGACATATCTTCATCTTGAAGCTTTTGTTTTTTTTTTTTGGTCTTTTTGAGATAGGGTCTTGCTATGCACTTCAGGCTGGCCTTGAGCTCACTTTGTAGCCCAGGCTGGTCTCAAACTTGCAATGATCCTCCTGCCTCAGCCTCCCGAGTGCTGAGATTACAGGCATGCGCCATCACGCCTGGCCATCTTGGAGCTTTAATCCTAAACCTTTAGCAAAGCAGCAGACCAGCCCTGGGCTGACAGGTGGCAGGTGTGGGACAGAGGAGCAGCAGACCTGGAGGGGGCAGGATGCCACCCTCTTATCGGGAAGACTGTAGGTCTGCGGGAATCCGTGCTGCTGGAGAACTGGATTTAGAAATGTTCTGCGTCCAAAAGAGGAGGCATTGTTTACCTTTTTTTTTTTTTCTCTGATACTGAGGGTTGAACCCAGGTCCATTGTGCAAAACTACATTCCCCAGCTCTTGTTTAATTCTTTATTTTGAGATGGGGGTCTCACTAAGTTACCCAGGCCACTTGCTATTCTTCTGCTTTAGCCTCCCAGAGTGCTGGGATTACAGGGGTATACCACCATACTGGGCTTTTTGCTTTGCTTTTTATTGTTCTGTTTTTATGATACAGGGTCTTGCTATGGCCTTGAACTCGCTGTGTAATCCAGGCTGGCCTCAAACTCAAGGTGATCTTTTTGACTCAGCCTCCTGATTCCTGGGACAACTGGAGTGTGCCCCCTTGCCTGGCCTTTGCTTAAATTTTTAACTATTAAGTCTCTAACCTGGAGGTTGGCTCTCACCCTTCATATGAACAAAATGAGACTCAGACTGTGGCTCAGGAGGCCAAGAGCCATCTCCCTTAAGTGGCCATCTGGTGCCCCCACCTGTGCTGGCCCTGCCCCCAGTTACCAAGGTCCCTGGCTCTGAGCCCCACAAGCCACCTGAATGGGACAGCTTCTAACCTGGCTCCTTCCTAGTTGGGCCCTGGGGCTGGTCTGTGCCCCCTTGCAGGTCCTAGCTCAGCCAAATGGGCCCAGGCCAGCAGGACAGGCGCCTGCAGGGCCCCAGCCAACCCCCCATCAAGCAGGGCACCTGAGCTCTGGCTTTGGAGACAGGGGTACCACAGTGCAGCGAGGTGGCCGGCCAGCTGGGAAGGCCACTGAAGGTCCGCACAGGGCGGGCAGGAAAGTGGGCCTGGGCGTCAGGCTCAGCCCTGGGGTCACCGTACAGTGAGAATTTGGACGTAGATAAGATCTGGGACATTATTAATATCGCAATTGGAATAATGACTGCTATTGTTATGCGACAGTCATCAATCGGGGGCATGTTAGAGCAAGTGTGAGCACAATACAGATGTGGCCCCAGTCCCAGCCTTCTGGCTGGGGAGCTCTGGGCAGGTGGTGCTGCACTGGGGCCTCAGTTTCCCCTCCACACAGGACCTGATCTTCTCTTCCCAGCCCTGGGCAGGCCCAGCCATGCCTGCCACAGGGAAGGGAGTCATAGCAGTGGCACCTGCCCACTGTCCTGGTCCATGCCAGTGCCACTTCAGTCCCAACCCTGGGTGGCCTGTCTGGTGTAGGATGTGGGAGGCTCAGGGCAGGTCCTCTGCCCAGTCCCTGCCAGGGCAGGCTCTGCCCAGCCTGTTGGGGAGAGCAGGCGTCTCCTCAGCTGGGCTGGGAGGGGCTCAACACCATTTGGTGGGAGGCTGGAAATGCTGGGAGATGAGAATGAGAGGGGCCCATGAGTGTCCAAGAAGGTGTGAAGGAGATGAGACAGACATATATCGGAGCCAGATCTTGAGTCTGGATGTTATGATTTTATGCTGAGAGCAATGGGGAGCCACATAAGGTTCCTGAAGGAAAAAGAGAGGGCATAAAGCATCAGATCCTCCTCTCACACCAGCAGGCTTTAGTCTAGTCAGGATTATTCTAGGAATCTCTGCAAGGAATTGCAGGAATTGGGAAGGGGAGAGGAAGGAGGAAAATTCAGAGCTAAGACTGTGTTGAAGAGGTGTGAAAGCGATGCTGTTGATCATGACTTGCTCAGAGGTAGCAATTTAATTTTGCCAATAGGGTAACGTCAGCATCTTCTGCTCACTTAACCCCAGAAGAAGTGCTGTCATTAAACTGAGGTTCAGAGAAGATAAGCAACTTGCCTAAGGTCACCCACAAATAGTCGCCTGGCTCAGAGCCCACTGTAGAGGGCTCTCCACATCTGGGGTGGGGGACTCCCTGGGTCTTACATGGAGTAAGGCAGTAAGATCCTCCCACCTGTACCTCAACCCCTACTCCAGGTCTCACCATGAGAGAGGCCTGGATCCAGGTGGTAGTGTGGGGCAGCAGGCAGGGGTGCTGGGCTGAGGTCGCCTCTCCTAGCTATGGGTCCTCTTTCCCAGCTATGGGGACCAGGTGCAGCATTTTAAGGTTCTGCGTGAGGCCTCAGGGAAGTACTTCCTGTGGGACGAGAAGTTCAACTCTCTGAATGAACTGGTCGACTTCTACCGCACCACCACCATTGCCAAGCGGAGGCAGGTCTTCCTGCGTGATGAGGAACCTCTGCTACAGGTAGGTGTGGGAGGGGCACAAGCCTCTGCCACCTCTGTATCTGTGTGCCCTACTCTGCTGCTATCAGAGGTAGGCCCAGCCCAAGCCCCAAGGCCATATCCCAGTAGGGGTGTAGTGGGACAAGAGGGATGGGCCAGGATCCGGAGGATGGAGGTGGGAGCCATCCTGCTGGGGCGAACCATTCTGACTTGTTCTCAGCTCCTAGTGGGTGGCACAGAGCAGGAGCTCAATATATGTCTGTTGAATGAATGAACAGATAGACATGTGCTATACCTACTGAGTACCACACCCCTTCTGGTCTCTGTGCTCTGGGATCCTGAGCAGTCCCACTATACAGATGAGGAAACTGAGGCTCCAAGTGATATGCTTTCCTCAAGGCTGAACGCCTAGAATGCTCCATCTTGGTTTCTGCTCCGCAACAAGAAGCTGGCTCAGCCAGGGTGTGGGGAGATGTGCACATCTGTGGGCACGGTCCTGGCTATGTGGGGGTCTGTGCACCCCTTGTCCTCACAATAACAGCAACTTGCTAGCATCCAGCCCTGTCATCAAGGGACCCCAAGGACCAGCTGTCACTCTCACTAAGACGATGACACTGGCCAGTGGGGTCATGAGCCCTGACATGCTGTTTTTCCTGGAAAGGGAGGGTGAGACCTTGGGACACGTGAAGTTGGGCTGTGCAGGGAGGATGGGGAGCATGGCCATAGTCAAGGTCTTGGGAGTGGCTGTCATGTCCCCAAACGTCTTGTATGACCTGAGGGCTAGTTCAGCCCTTAGTTGGGCCTCAGTTTCCCCTGTGTCTTAACAGGATGAGTCTGGGGGTGTGAACGCCAGGAAAATGAAACAAGGCCTCAGCAGGCTCCGTTGGTGGACTCTGCTTGGCAGGGCTTGTCACCCAGCCCTCTGTCCTGCTGCCCACTGCCTGGGGCAGTCCTGCCCCTGGAGAGTGGGAGGGAGCCAGGGTGGAGCTGAGGGGCCAGCGGAGCCTGCCCTGCACCCACATCCTTGCTCTGGCCTGAGCCCAAGGTCACCCATGCAGTGGAGTGACTGCAGAGCTGGCTCAGTCTCCTGAGACTTGCGACGCCTCCTCCTTCCGGGGCAGAGAACCGCTGATTACAGTGTCTCTTCTGATTCTATCACCATCCTGGATGGGACTCTGTAGGCTCAGAGCTGGGATCCTGCTGGGGCAGGTAGGGCCAGAGCGCTGGGTGCCACCATCCTGTCGCCGAGCACACGTGCCACAGAGAACCCCGCACACCTACTGCGCATGGGAGAGGAGCCAGCCCCACACAGGGGGGACGCTCTGAGGCCCTGCTTGGAGACAGACGGGGCTGCAGCCCAGCCTGACTACCCTGGGGCAGCACCAAGTGGGAACCATGTCCCCGGCCGTGGGCAACAGCGGGAAGCACAACCCTTGGCTGCACAACCCTGTACAGTGGATGCAGCCCTCTCCTGCGGTCCATACCTGAGCCAGCTACCCTGGCTCCTGCACAGCTGGGGAAATGAGACCAGGAGAGCCAGACACCAACCAGGGTCCTACCGAAGGACTAGGACCTGGGTCCCCCGCAGCCCTCCTGTCTCTGCCAGGCTGCCAGGAGCCAGATGCTCTATGAGAATGAAATAATGCAGGGCCCTGGGCAGTGCAAAGCCCATGGGACAGGGTGGTCACCCGTGTGGAATTGGTCGGGTGCAATGCTTCCCCAGGACTCCTCCCCACCCGAGTCGACCTCCTAGGGTCCTCCAGGTCTGGGGCTTCCAAAGCCACCCCACTAACTGCTTTCTCCCCTCGCAGTCGCCCCGTGCCTGCTTCGCTCAGGCCCAGTTCGACTTCTTGGCCCAGGACCCTTCACAGCTCAGCTTCCGCCGCGGGGACATCATCGAGGTCCTGGAGCGCCCGGACCCGCACTGGTGGCGAGGTCGTTCCTGCGGGCGCGTGGGCTTCTTCCCGCGGAGCTACGTGCAGCCGGTGCACCTGTGAGCGCTGCAGAGCCGCCGGGGCGAGCAAGAACTGCTGTCCGGACCAGGATGCGGACGTCCTGCCCGGGTTACAGCGAGCTCGGCGGAAAGTCTGAGACTGAACTTTGGGTCTGCACGGCCCGGGGACCCTTAGCAAAAACTTTGACCAGCCCCCATCGCCCAGAGCTGCGCGGTATTTAGTAGGCACGGCCAGGTGGTGCCAAGCTTGCGGCCTGGCCGCTCCCCATTGGCCCCAGCGGTGTGATGTCATGGGGCGGGCTCTCCGGAGGCCCCTCCCACCGCCGTCAAAGGCCTAATCCTGGGGAGCGCTGAGGACTGCGGCTCAACTCAGAGAATCGTGGGGTTCCTGGGTGGGCGCGCCTGAGCAGACAGCTTGCATAAAGGCCCTCGGCCTTTGGGGAGGGAGTTCACCTCCAAGGACCTAGACTTACCAGGGCCTGTGCTTCTCCGCAACCCCATGCCTGTGGGCTCCCCATGCCTCAGACCTCTGACCCCCACAGACACTTGAGGTGCGGCTGAGGCCGTGAGACCCGAACGCAGGGGGCGGTGGTGCAAAGGTGATGGCTCCGTTACTGTTTGCTGCTGGCATGGACAGCTATGGCAGGCAGACCCGGGCCCCGCGCGTGGGGAAACCGAGCTGCTGGGGCTCTCCTTTCGTCCTGGCTCTACACAGACCAGGGTCTGGCCACTTGTGGGCAGACAGGGCAGTCCACAGGCCAGTGGGGTGTTGGGGCTAGAGCTGGATTTTGGTCGGCCAGCAGTGGGAAAAAAGGGACAGGCAGCCTAGGTAGAGGCCCGCCTTGAGTGAAGGTGGGACATCCAGATGGAAACAAATGGACGCCTTCGGGAGCAGGAGGACAAAGTGGGATTTGGGAAGGGTTGGAATGCCAGGCACCTGGCAGAGGGATCTTGAACACGGTGCAAGAAAGCTCCCTGGCCCACCAGGAGACGGCAGGGTGGAAGAGGAGCCCATGAAGCTCCTGCAGCCCCGTTAGGAGGACCTGTGTTGTAGGTGTGTGGGGCTCCCCCTCTGTTCAGGGCTGGCCCAAGGCCCTTTGAGTACTGAGCCCTGGCAAATTCCACTGCTTCTACCACGGGCCTGTGTATTCAACATAAAAACCATGGAACCAATATAACAATGTCCATCGCAAATCTCATTTTCTTCTGAACTATGATTTTTATGCTAATTTTGAAATAGTACGTTCTTTTTTCTCATTATCCCCCTAATTTTTCAGGGTCTTTTCTTTGCTGGCTCAGCCAATCAATGGGCACGGACCGGCTCTGTAGCTGTGAGGGGAGTCAGGCCTCCTCTGGGTCCAGTGTTCACTCTAGGGAGACAGTGTGGCCTAAGGACTCCAGGCTGCCTCCCTCCTGCCCAGAATGGCAGCATCAGGCAAAGTAGGCATAGAAGAAGATGTTGACGCACATGAGCAGGACAGCATTGAAGCCACACACACGGGCCCAGAAAAGGCGTTTGTGGGGTGTCTGGCTGTCACCTGGAGGGAGGTGGGAGGGACAGATGAGGGATGCAAGGCTACCCCCCTGAACCCACTCTTGCAGCCCCAGCCTCAGGGTGGAGAGCTGGGGAGGGCTGAGGGTCACACAAGTACCTGCTTTGACTCTCAGGGGCAGGTCCTGAGCCAGTGTCCACCAGGTAAGGTTCTCGATCTGCAAGGCATGTGAGGGATGGAGTGTGGTGGGACAGGGGGGTCCAGAGAGGGCCAGGGTCAGGATGGAAAGAGGAAGCTGAGCTTGAAAGGGGACAGAAGTTACAGCAAGGCAGGGTTAGGGGTCAAAGACTAGAAAATTCTGGAGTTGGAGCGGGTCAGGGATCAGGACAGGAGCAGAGTGAGAGAATGTTGGGATTTAGGTCAAGAAGCCTACAGGGTCAAAGGTCAGGGAAAGCTCACCTGAACTTGCCGGGGGGGTGCAGTTAGCAGGCTTCCGGCGGCCACAACAGCACCCGTGAGCATAAAGAGGGCAATAGCAAAGTGCAGATAGTGGATGCTTCGGAGGATGGCCGGCCGTGTGTCTGGATCACCGCAGGGTGGAGCTGGGTGCAGGAATTCCAGGACCAGCCTTGTGGCACCCACCACCAGCCCAGCCATCAGGCCCCAGAAGGCTCCCTGGGGAGGAAAGAGGCTAGCAGTGGCAGAAAGACAAGCCCCCACCCTCTCCTGAGGCATTGAGGGAAGGTCTGAGGGCACCATGACGTGTCCACAGGAGGAGGTGGAGAGCTCCTGGCTGCCCACCTGTTCATTAGCACGCCGCCAGAAGATGCCCAGGATGAAGACTGCGGTCACTGGGGGGGCTAGGGAGCTGGTCACAGACTGCATGTAGATGAAAAGTTGTCCTCCGTTGGAGCCCTGCAGGATGGGGATCCATGCCACGCTCACACCAATGAGCACCACAATGACCAGCCTGTCGGCGACAGTGGGTGGTGGGTGTCCAGAGACTCAGCCCTGCACCTTCCTCTGTCACTGAGATGTGCTCTCTTGCTTCTCTGTCCACTGCAGCCTCCTCTGGTTTACTCCACCAGTGAGTGCCTGCTGCTTCTGCTCAAGACCCTGGCAAAGCTCCCTGCTGCTGGTAGACTCAGTCTCTGACCCCCACCACTGCCTGCTTCTTGTCTCCCCTGCGATCTGCTGAGTTAGCCCTTGGAGTACCCTTGGGGGCTGCTCCCCTCCAAGGGACCTGTGCCAGCTCCATGTGCACATTTTCTTGGGTGTCTTCTTGTCTCCTGCCTATCTCCCTCTTCAGACTGGATACTCCAGGAGGGTAGGTATCTCCCACTTTAGTTCAACTCACAGAGGGTGCTCATTTCACATTTGGGGGCTGCAAATGACCTACTGCTCGCACTGGGCCACACTGAACTCTTGGTGGTTCTCTGAATACACCATGCTCTGGTGAGCTGTCAGGGCTTTGTAGGGACCGCAGCTGCGCACCTACCCCATCCACCCCCATCCACCTCAAGGTGATCACTGATTTAGGAGGGCAAGGTTTGGAGCCGGGTAGCTTGGGCTCCAAAAGGAGCCTGAGCCCTTCTGGCTCCCCTGCCTTACCTCTCTGAGAGGCTGAGCACCCCTCCACAGCGGGTGCCTCATTCCTCCCCTGGGTGCAGGGCCCTATGTTGAACAGGCCCTGGTGCCTGCCCAGCCCTTGGTCCAGCAAAGAAAACAGACCAGCCTAGCAGGGCTGTACTTCGGGAGCCCCAGGGGAAGCATCCATCTAGGGTGCTTCCAGGAGGAGGGGTCCTGGGGCCTTGAGAGGCTATAAGCTCAGGGGACAAGGCTGAGGTGGGTGTTCCATCTGCTCCTTTGTGGCTGAGCACCCCTTACCTCGTCCTGGGCCAGTTGGGGTTGTTATTCCCAGGGAGGGAGGTGGGGGCAGCTGCTGGAGCCCAGCCCCCTGGGGATGATGGAGGCTGTGTGCAGCAGGGCGGGCCCCTTCCCCTGGCTGCCCGCCTCCCTTTCCTCCCTTTCCTCACTTCCAGGCCTGAGGGAGAGGGTGGAGGAAGGAGGTGCCACACTGATTAAGGCTAATTAACCCTTAGCCTGGCAGGCGGCGGGTTCTGCCTCTTCAAAGGCCCAGGCGGCCGCCATTACCTGCCCACCCCACCCTTCGAGACTAGACTCAGCATCTCTGAGCTGGGGCCGTGGCCTCTGCAGCCAGCCTGGTTCAGCTGCCACCTGATTCAGCTGCCACCAGGTTGCTGAGGTCCCCCCAACCCAGAGACTGTGCCTTTTGCTGGAATGCCCTTCTTCCCAGCAACCCTTCTCAGCTCCAAGGAAGCCGGAAGAGCTGTGCCCTTCCAGCCTGTCCATCATGGCCCTGGCTGCTGCCCTGGTCGCGGGGAGCTCCTGTGGGGGTGGCCCAAGATCACTGAGTCTTTCATATTGTCCAGCGTGGCAGGATTCTGGGGAGGAGGGAAAGCAGGTAGCAGGGAGGAACAGGAGGAACAGAAGCTCTGAGGTGTGGGGCTTGGGGCTACAGAGATCAAGGGCCAAAGGTAGAGGTCATCACCCCACTTTCCCCCAGTGACAGCTCTTCTGGCTTCCTGATGAGACTGCTGCTGGGGTCACTGGCATGCCCCTACCCTGCCCTGCCTTCCACTCCAGGCTCCTGGGGAGAACGCAGGCTGGCAGGGCTGGTGGTCAGGTGGGAAGCAGTAGGAAGGGCAGCCAAGGGTGTGGGTGAGGGTTGGTATCTGACAGGAGGAGTAACTACATCAGGACCAGGGCCTCAGATGGGAGCAGGGCAGAAGCTGCTTCTGAGGGCACCAGAGGCATGGGCAGGCGTAAGGCCAGGCACGAGGCTGCCTGGGTCCCAGGTCGGGATGCTAGAGCATGGAGGGGATTAGCCAGGGACAACACCATGGCTAGAAAGGGGCAGGGCCCCTGGCACAGCAGCAGAGGACAGGTAGGGAGCTGGGATTTCTAGCGGTCAGGGGCGCGTGCCCAGGATGCAGGGCAGGGAGCACCTACACAGAATGGCAGGAGGATCCTTGCTTGTGATGAGCTCACACTGCTGACTGGCGTGTCCTAACAGCACCCTTCCAACAGGAGCCTGGCTGTTTGCATCACCAAGACAACTACCTGGGGCTCTAGGGAGTCCCCACCCCAAAGCCAGAGGCTGTACAGTTGCGTTGGCTGAGCCAGCACTAGAAGGATGTGCCCTGCACCAGCAGAGTGGGGCCTGAGTGGCCTGGAGGGGAAGAGGTGGGCAGAACCTGGAGATGACCCAAGTGGATACTCTGGTACATGACCTCTACTATTCATGGCCAAGTTTACCTCTGTAGATGCCTGGGTACCCTGCCAGGTTTGGGCACAGAGGGTGGGACCACATACAGCCCTGTCCTCAGGGATTCGCCAGCCCTGTGGGGAGGAGTGTCCAGAGAGACATCTGGGCACACAGGAGAGAGAAAGGCTTATTCCTCGGTTGGGAGTATCAGGGAGGGCTACACAGAGAGGCCACTTGGGCTGAGTCAGTGAGTTGAGCAAGGAGGGTTATAAGCAGGGCCAAGAGGAAATTGGCAGGAGCTCAGTGGGGCAGAAGTACAGAGGCCAGTGAGCCCTGCAGCCTGTGTGGGGCCAGTCCTGCTGCGGGCTCAGGGGCCTCGGTGGGGCAGCAGGCTCAGATTGTAGGGCGGCAGAGCTCTGACACTGCGAGGACAGGGAGGGCTGATCCTAGCAGAGGGAACCTAGTTCAGGGTAAGGGCAGCATGTGAGAGAGGGCTACGGCCATGCAGGGCTGGACAGGAGAGCAGTTCAAGGGGTAGGATACATAGGCTCCTCCAGCTCCCTCTTCCCCTCATTTCTGGCATTCTCTTTTCTCTGGCAAATTCCTGTGCATCCCTCAAAGCCCACTTCCGGTGGGTGGGGCCTCATGGGGCTACAGGAGCCCATTACTCACCCACTCCCTGGGTTCCAGGCATTCACCAACCATACCTTCCCACCAGCAGCAGCTCCCGCTCGCCAGCGTGGAACCGCAGCTGCCTCCAGATGTCCATGGTAAAGAGTGTGCTGCTGCTGTTAAAGATGGAAGTCAGCGATGACATGAGGGCGGCCATCATCACTGCGATCATCAGCCCTCGCAGACCTGGGGTGAGGACCCGGACTTGTTGAGACCCTGCCTGGCCTTCGTCTGGCCTGCAGAGCCCCTCCTGCCTGTGCTCAACCATCTGAGACCCCACTGCTGTCACCTCCAGGGGCTCTACAACCATGTGCAAAGCCCTCTGTAAGGCAGAGCTGGAGAACGACAGAGGCTGAAGATGTTTGAGTGAGGAAGGTCCCAAAATAGTTGGCTGGGGAGGCCAGGGACAAGCTGTGGGGTTCAAGAATTCTTGGCCTGTGCATGCGGCCTGCTGCAGCACAGTTCTCAGCTGTAATTACCCAGTGTGTTGCTGTTATTACAGCCCTCTCATTTCCACAGAGCCTGGTGCTGACAGGGCACTTTCACACTGGCTTCATTGGAGGGAAAGATCACCAACCCCTTGGACAGACGAGGAAGTGGAAGCTCAGAGACAGCAAGAGGGCTGCAGGAAATTCACAGCAGGCCACAGGCAGAGCCTGGGGTGGGTGAGAAAGTTTGGGATGGGACCATTTGCTTGGCAGTCACACCCTGGGCAGGGTGCATG